CAAGGTGATGTTTTGGTATATGTATACATTGTGAAATGAACACTCAAACTATTTAATTATTACCATGTTAATTTTCTCAGTATGAAGTAGGGGTGTGTGTGTGTGTGTGTGTGTGTGTGTGTGTGTGTGTTGTGAACACTTAAGATCTACTTTCTTAGTAAATTTCAAACATACATTATATTATCTATAGTCACCATGCTATATATTAGGTCTCCAGAACTTATTCATCTTATAACTGAAAGCTTGTACCTTTTGATCGATATTTCCTCTCTCTCCTACCCCCCGCCCCGCCACACACACACACACACACACACACACACACACACACACACTCTCCATTCCACCTCTGGTGACCACCATTCTACTTAGGGAGGGTTTTTTTGTTTTGTTTATTTGTGTGTGTTTTTTAAAGACAAGTTATTTAATCATCTCCCTTTTCAGCTCAAAAACCTTCAGAGGCTTGCTAATGGATACAGAATATCCAGATTTCTTAGCATGCAAGTCCAGGTCCACTATGAATTTACCTCAATCTACCTTTTGAGCCTCATTCTCCTGTCTCTCCCTTCATACACTATCTGCCCAGATGCACGAACTTCCAATCCCTCTGAGAAAACAACATGAAATTTTGATGTTTCTTTGCTTATGTGGTTCTCCAAGACTGTTCGTTTGAATCTCAATCTCATAGTACATAATAAATGCTCAATAAATATTTGTTAAATCAGCTGAATGAATGAATGCAACAGTGGAGGGCACAGTTTAAGGATTAAAACTAGTGAAAATATAGGGCGAAACTCAGAATATTATGAACTGAGCGCTGGGATTATACTCAGGATTATCAAGTTTTTATTTGGAGTTGACAGAGCAGAATAGAATTGAGTTTCTCTGCTAACACACAAGTCACTCATTGTGTACACGGCAGTATCATTAGAGAAGGGAACCTCAGATATTATCAGGAAAGTATCAGGCAATAGGGTATGGTTAGATTTAAATACTAATTCATCTTATAGTCAACTAATTAGAAAGCAAAAACCGTAATACAATAAAAAGAGCTGGTTCTTGATAGGCAAAGAAATTATTATTTGTTAATTTTCTCAGTATGAAGCACCTGGCATTTAAACTGCAGCTGAAACGGAGCAAAATGCAATCCCCAGGAGCACTGACAAGGCTTGTGAGAGGCCCAGGGGGACCTGCGAGTGGAGCTCTGCAAAGAGAGTCTCCATCTTTTTCATGCACTACCCACTGCCTCACCTCTTTTAGCGGGACTCCCTCGTCAAGCCTCAAGCGCTGGTGTTGCCATAGCTGCTTTTTTTCTTTGACTTTGCCCAGCCCCCACCCTCCAGCTTCCATTAGTCCAATCATCATCTATAAATCCTTTCGCTGGCATCCGGGGTCTCTTAGGCAACAATGTGTGGTCTCTTGATTGGCCAGGAGATCCAGGAGGGCTGGCTCCAAAATTAGGCACAGGGATACAACGAAAAAGTGAGCGTGCCAAGAAGGTGGGAGGGGGTGCCATCTCCCAATATAATGCAGAGAAAGATAGATGCAGCCAATTCCGGAAACAAGCAGCATTGAAAGCTCTCATTCAAGACACATTTGTTTCCCAAATCAGGCCAACCTCCTGAACATGCCCAATTATATTGCTCTGGTCACTCCGAGGCTCCGAAATATAAACTCCGTTTTTCCGGGTTTTAAGAGTGGCCAACAGGTAAAAGAGGGTTGGAGGAAAAAGAATTCCCGACTGGCTCAATACAGAATGGCACCTACGACAGGAAGTGGAAGGACGTGGGAAAATTGCCTAACACACAAACTCACAAATGCTTCAACAGGAATGTTAATTGATCGGATTATTAAAGGAATTCAGGCTGCCTGACAGATACGTCCCGGAACCAGCAGATGGCATGCCTTAATAAGAATAATTCCAAACGTGGGAAATTTTACAATTCGGTCTAATTTAATTAAATGTTTTGAGCACCCACCATGTAATCAGGGGCAGAGTGAGAATGCAAGGATAAAAAAAGAATCTAATGAGGAAGACTGGAAAATACAAAGGGTAAATAATGTGAGGCCCCCAGTGATAACTGCTGTGATAGAACTACCAGTATAAAGTGCTGGAGAATCACCCAAAATTCAAAATTTCTGGATGGAGCTCCTTAGTAAATGTGAAGGAATTCTTATGCACAGCAGCTAACAAAAACAAAACAAAAACATCTTCCCCCCCAAAGCAAAAAAGACTTTCCTCACTAAAATAGATAAGAATATACTCTCCTCCAACGTAAACAACTGTAAACCCTACGTTTGCATTGTGTTTCACAGTTTTAAAATAGGCAGTATTTGTATATCTCTAATTTAAACAGAAACCAAAACATGAAGCTCATAAAGATGGATTTCCTTGAGTTAACTAAGAACCTGTAAGCGGCTAAACTGAAATTAGAACCTAGGTAGTCTGAATTCCAGACTAGTGGTTTTTTTCACATGACCAGGTTGTATGTATATGAATAAACAAAGCCTTAGGTGGTGGAGGGTGGCCTAGGGGAGGTATGTAAATGCAGCACTAAATTACCAGTTAACATTAATGGTTTCAAAACGAGTTCATCCAGAAAGAGACCAGTTTTAACAACATACTGTGAGAGAGCTGTCTCTCTGTGAAGTGCCCGCTCATTAAAGCCTCTCTATTGGTGGTTACAACATGGAATGAAAGAGAGATGGGATAAAAGAGAGCATCGCACTTTATCCCTGTTGGATTTTAAGATTTTTATCCCTGAAAATAAGGTTCCTTCAGTCTATCCTCTTAACTAGTACCCTTCGAGACTCCCCTTCTCCAGCATCTCATCAGTCTAACTGCTAATCCCCACTCCCCACAGCCTGAAGGACACCATTCACCCTGTCCTCATAGTAAGCATACCAGCTCAATGTCCACAAAACTTTAACATTACTCTTAAATGAAATATTTCAAACATAAAGCTTAGAGATTTGCATAAGAAAAACCCTTGTAGTCCCACCAAGATTTAAAAAAATATATTAACATTTTTGTTTCCTGTGTGTGATTAATAGTTGAAACCTTTTTTGTATACTTTCCAGATCTCATTTCCCTCCTGGCTTGCCCTAGAGGGCAACACTGAGAAATTGTCCATTTTTTAATACTATATACATACATATATATCCTCATAAACAATATGGCTAGGTGTAATATAAACAGGTAAAATAATTTACATAGCTTGTAATTTGCTTGTTTCACTGTTATATTTCTGAGATTTAGTCATGTTGATACATTCAGTGATAATTTCTACATCTTTTCTACCTCTCCTTGTGAACTATGATATGTCCTACCCCTGACAGTTTTCAAAGGACACTGTGTAAATTGCATAGAAATTCATATAGCTGCACATCTCCACAGGCTCTGCAAATACAAGGAATCTTGAAATATAGGGTGTCCCAAAAATATATACACACACTTTGAATAATAGTAAATGCAATGTTTTATTAGAATACATTTCATTTTCAAAATTTAGCTATCAGCTGTTAAAGTGTGTACATATTTTGGGGGCATCCCCTGTATATAAAGCAGGCACACACAGTTTTTCACATATGATATTTGCCTCCTAATGACCCTCAGTAAAGGCAGTGTTGGCTCCACAAGACACATTGGCTTGCTTATAAGCAGCCTAAGGATCAACATTATATTTTTTAAATGGTACTGCACAAGAATGTGCTTATTAGGAAAATTGAAAATGTCATTTATATCTCATTTATTATGCTTTTCCCCAAAACTCACGTTTTTAGGTTTTTTTGTTTCTTAATCCTCACTAGAGGATATTTTCCCATTGATTTTTAGAAGGAGTGTAAGGGAGGGGGGAGAGAGAGAGAGAGAGAGAGAGAGAGAGAGAGAGAGAGAAACATCACAGGCGCTGCAGGGCCCGGATTGAGGTTGAGCCTGCAACCAAGGTGTGTGCCCTTGACCTGAATGGATCCCGGGACCTTCAGTCCGCAGGCCAACGCTCGGTCCACTGAGCCAAACTGGTTAGAGCCCATAGCTCATCTTTTGATGTTAAACTACACTTATGGCTGTCTAAGCTTAGTAGTCAATATTTATTTAACATTTATTGAGCTGTGGTAAAATACACATAACATACAATTTACCATTTTAACCATTTTTAAGTGTGCATTTGGGTAGTGTTCGGGACATTCGCATTCCTGTGTTGCCAAGAGAACAAAATGATGCCTCTGAAGTCAGGTTGAAAGGGAGGAAAAGGAAGAGCAAGAACAGTGGGTACAACAACAGCTTTAGCCTTGAATGAACGTAGACCGTCGCGAAGACGCTGCGTGGCTTTGGGCGAGTCATTTAATCTTCCTGGGTGTTTTTCCTCGTCTGAAAAACGAGGTTGGGTTTAGATGATCTCTAAGGACATGTTTATCCCTAAAATTGTTTATGTAGAAAAAGAGAAGGGAAGCATTTTCTAAGGAGCAAAAAGGTGGGGAGTGCGGTCAATACCCACAATCTGCACCTGTTCCCGAAGGTCTGGGCAGAGAGGCTCTGTACCGTGCCAGATGCCCTGCTCGTTGCTGTCGGCGTGGAGCTCTGCACCATGCCCGTTGTCGACCTCTCCCTGCGCGCAGTGCCACCCGGAGCACTCGGGGACCTGCCTCTCGACCACCTCCAATGCCCGGCTCCCACGCTCCCACTTTCCTTCTCAGAGCAGGTTTTGGCGGTCTTGCCAAACCAGCATCATAGGCTTGGGGTGATGAGAGTCCCCGCGCCGTCTCAGCCGGAGAGGGGAGAGAGCTTTGCAAAGAGGGCTGAGCGCATTTAACACCGACGCTTGCAGAGCCGTGAACGACTCCGCGGGCCTAGCCCGGCTCGAGGCAACACCCAGGGCGCGGGGCGGAGAACAACCCAACGCGCGCAGTCGGCCCCGCGCGGCGGGGCTCAAAATGGGAGCGCTCGGCCGCGCGTGCGCAGCGCGCCGGCGCCGTGCGTGCGCGCGCGTGCGCGTTCCCCGGGCCGCGCGCCCAGACGCTCGGGGAAGCTCGCGGTTGCTCCGGGGCGCGCGCCGGCGGTCCTCGCTCGCTCGCTTTACCTGGCGGACCCGCGGCCGTACGCGGCCGGCGCTGCAGCCCTCGCCTCGGAGCCCGGGCCCCGCGGTGTGAGGTGAGCACGGAGGCGTGCGGTCTCCCGGCGGGGTTAGCGGGCCGAGGGCGCGGGGAGTGTAGGGAGCGAGGAGGTGCCGCCGCGGTTGCCCGCTCCTCTTACCCTTTTGCTGAGGAGCCACCAGCGGCCCCGCCACCTCCTCCTCCGGGATCGTGATTCTCGTCGCGGCCAAAACAAAAGCTTTCCGCGCCGGGCTGAGGCCGGGGGTCGGACAGGCTTCTGGAGGTCGGCGGCGGTTCTGGGGGGTACGGAGGAGCCGAGCTGGGGGCGCGGGGGGGGGGGCAGGTGCCCGGGGAGATGATTCACCCTCGCTGTCCTCAGCCCGCGCTGGGCAACCTGTGCGAGTGCGGACCGCGGCGCCCTCTCCGCCGCCCCGGCCCGAGCCCCTCTCGGGAGACGGTGCGGGACGGAGCCCGCTGTCGGGGTCGGCGCCGCGGAGGCGTGTGGCGCTCCCCGCCCGCCCGCCCGCCGGGAGCGTGGGCGGAGGACGCGGCCGCAGCCGGGGGAGGACAATGCACCGAGGGCTTCGGCGCCCCGGGCCGCTGGGGCCGGCGGGAGACCCGCGGCAGAATGGCCCCCGGCCCGGCGGACCCCGTTTTCGCATTCAGCCGACCTCTTGTTTCCCAGCCCTAAAAGTTGTCCCCTCCATCCCGTCAGGGAGCCCAAGTCGCTCTCCCTTCCCAGATGCCCCCCCCCCCCCCCAGCTGCACCCTTTTATGCCCTGTGTTTCCCATGGCATAAGTACTCCTGGGTAATTAGCCTTCGAAATAAAGGCGCTGTGACACTATTTAAAATCATCATTTTAACATCTTCCGAGAGCTTCGGTGTCGGGAGTCTTGGATGAGGTGCCTCCTCTGTGAGAGAAAGAGCCCTCCCCCCTCCCCCCTTACCCCCCTAACAAAAGCACTTGCGGTTCGTGTAGCCCTGGGGTGGACTGGGAGTGGACGTGCATCCCCCTACAGAGGGGGTCCAGCGTCTCGCCCGGCACAAATGGGAATTTGAATTTCGGTTCCCTGCTGAATTGGGGCAGATGCAGCAGCAGCAGAGCAGAATGGCAGTTCTGTGAACGTCTGCCACAGGAAAGTATCCAAACAAAACCTCGTTTTGTCAAAGTTTGGGTAGACCTGCCATGCCCGTGTGTGGGAATTGAGCCCTTTTGCAAGGCCCGTGGAACCAGGAGCAAGGAAACAAAGACCTGCCTGACACGGGGGGTGCTCCCTCCCGCTGCAGCCTTCTTTTAGCCTTGAGTGGTGTGTGGCCGCCTGAAGAATAAACCCGTAGTTCTGCTCGGAAGAAGCACTTACTCCTCAAGATAATGCTTTCCGTCTGTACTTTTCAGCAAATCAATACTATCCCCCCCCCCCCGAACAGCGGTTCTCAACCTGTGGGTCGCGACCATCGGAAAACACAGGGCATATCAGATATTTACATTACGATTTATAACAGTAGCAAAATTACAGTTATGAAGTAGAAAATAATTTTATGGTTGGGGGTCACCACAACATGAGGAACTGTATTAAAGGGTCGCGGCATTAGGAAGGTTGAGAACCACTGCTCTAGAAAAAAAAAAATTGTTTTTACTTGACCTACCAAACCACAGCATAAAGGTGGAAAGATGCAGGGTTAGGAGAGGAGGAAAGGGGTGTAAAAGCTTAACTGGGCGGGCTTGGAAGGCTAGAGCGGAGGATAAAATATAACGACTGTAAAGTGCTTGTCTTTACCACGTTGCCTTTTATTTAGTGCAAGAACAGGTGCCTCCTGCACCCATGAAACACTTTGAAACTATATCTTGAAAACAAGCATTTCATAACGCCTCCCATCCTACCTTCTCTGTCCTCCTCCTGTTCTTTTCTCATTCACTACTAATATTCTCCACCTCCCCATCCCTCCTAAATCTGTAACACTGCCCCATTAATAGAAAAAGAAAAGACTATAGACTCTTTTCCTCATCTTAGCTACTATATTCCCTTGAGCTTTATTTTGTGCTTTGAACGTTTAGGTGGATTTTTGGGGGGGGGGGGCAGGGGGAGTTCCATGATTGAGATATTTGAAGTAGGGAGGGAATTTAATAGTAAAGTTCACACTTTTTTTGTTGTTGTTGTTTAGTACAGTGTGAAAGCTTTATCATTGGGGAAGGAGAGACGAGTTTTTAACTCACAATAAATTCTCTGTTTCCCTCTTGACAGGAAAAAAATTTCTCTAAGCAACTTAAATTTTGTATTAGTTTGTTAGTAAAGCCATACGATATTATATTCAGAACTTATTGTGAGCATATTAGTTTGTTGATATTAGAATGCTGTTGATTTTCTTTTCTTTATGAGACAGGTGGCAGGAAACAGCTCCTATCACCTGTCAGGGGAGAGTGGTGTTGGCCTCAAGTTTGTTTTTTTTTAATCCCTAAAACTGTAGAATTGTAGTTACTTAAAGCTGAAACTGCCCACAAAAAGAGTAATAACACAAATAAAAAGAATGGTTTGGAAAATACATACTGGAGAAATTATTCAATATAGATTTTTGAAAAGATATGCGGCAGGGTTTGAGGAAATGAAGACTTTTAATAGTGACATTTCCATAGGGCCAGTAGTAAATGTTTGAAGAGTAAGAACTTTTCACTGGCCAGGGATGGAGTTTTACGGACTGTATGTCAAAATTACTTCCTCTGCTTTCCAATTCATTATGTTGAAAAGTATTGACAGTTTGGATGGATCCAAGGAGTGTGTTGCAAATGAAGTTTTAGATGAATATTATTTGGCAAGAGGGCTTTAAAGAACAAATACTGGTCCCTAAATTTTATGTTACTGAAATAATTTTATAGTCAAAGCATATAAACCATATAACCTTGCTAAGGGGAAAGTCAGGGACTCGATATTAGAGAATTTTCTGATGAACAGATTTTACTCAACAGGGAAGCAAGCTGGGCCAGAATTTCAGCCTGATTTTTTTTTTTTTTTTTTAGTCTAAAATCTGGCTTTTAACTTTCCACTTTTGTTTTCAGGTTGGTTTTAAAAGATATTCTGCTTTTCTTTAATCTTAAAATAATTTGTAATTTGTAAAATGGGCTGGATTTTAATTTTGAACCTAGATCTATTTGTGTCCCCCCCCCCCCCCCCCTTTAAAGCTCTATCACTCAGCATGTTGGAAGATTAGTCTATTTGTTTTATCAGTAGATGACACAATGGACATTAAAAATTAGATAAAGTGAGAAAGATCAGAAAAGAGATATCCTAAGATTAATAGGGATGTAAGCTCTATGAGTTAAATATGAAGTTATATAAACTTTTAGCAACAAGGAGGCAAATTTTGAGAATGAATTTATTTTTCAAAGAATAGGACCTGGAAAACAAAAGGCAAAAGACCACTTGGGTCACATGGGTTTTAGGAAAAGGACTGTAGCACTTAGAGCAGTGAGTATGCTCTAAGACAGGGGTGGGCAAACTTTTTGACTCGAGGGCCACAATGGGTTCTTAAACTGGACCGGAGGGCCAGAACAAAAGCATGGATGGAGTGTTTGTGTGAACTAATATAAATTCAAAGTAAACATCATTACATAAAAGGGTACGGTCTTTTTTTTTTTTCTTTTTTTTTTTTTCAGTTTTATTCTTTTCAAACAGGCAGGATCCAGCCAGTGGGCAGTAGTTTGCCCACGGCTACTCTAAGAGTATATTTTGTCTCTTTAACAAGACAATGTCCTTGAGAGAAGAAACTCAGAGGTAGTCATTGTTAATTCTTGCAATGCATTCTTAGAAAACTCCTCTGAAAGAAGACAAAGAATATTCCTCCTGTTTCTACTGTAGAGCCACTGTGTGTGAGGCAACCTTTTGATGGCCTTTCTGAATTGGAAATGCAAAATGTTGTCTACATTTAAGGGATGTCAAGAAAATTAAATCTAAACTGAGAATGATGAAAGGGATCACTTTCTGTACTGAGAGTGTAAATTGGAATCGAATTGCTGAACATAATCTTTTGTTTCAGGACCTTCTTGACAAGCCCTCAGGGCCCACTTTTGTCATTGTTTCTTCTGGGGATTCAGCCTGCTTTCCTCTTCACAGTTGCCACCTCGTGTTCTTTTGGTCCGCTTTGCAGCCAGCTTGGGAAGACAGCTTTCTAAGATTGTATCACCTTCCCCTTTATGGCTGTCCTTTAGGACAAATACTCAACTTATTTTAAGGGTTTTTACTTTTTATCATCGAAAGGAAACTAGTAATTGGGAATCTCAGATTCCCAGTGTTATACATTCATAAAAATTAAAATGTAGGTTTAAATGTATCTAGTTGGTTTTGTTTTCTGATGGAAAAATAATCAAGTAACTTAATCAGAAATGAGTTTTTTAAATATCTTGTATTGCTCTATGGAAAAGTGAATGTGCGTGTTTCCCATAGGTATGGCATGAATAAATTCTTGCCATATCACTCACTTTTTGCTGTTCTCTGGCCCCTGAAGCTGTTCACTCCAGTTATGTTAACCCAGCAGGTCCCTTTATTAAGCTGAAATTCTGCAGATTCCTTTCTTAGAAATATGTTTTTATTGATTTCAGAGAGAGGATGGGAGAGGGAGAGGGAAAGAGAGAGAAAATTCAATGATGAGAGAGAATCATAGTTTGGCTGCTTCATGCATGTCCCCCTATTGGGGGATTGAGCCCTCAACTTGGACATGTGCCTTGACTGGGAGCGAGCCATTACCTACTGGTTCATAGGTTGACGCTCAACCACTGAGTCACACCGCAAGGCCTGCAGATTCCTTTTAGTAAAAAATATCAAGAATGCCAAAACAACTGTTAACCTTTATTTAATGGGTTGCTGTATTTTGATAGTATCTCTTTGGGTCCAGAATCTTCTCTGTGACCTGCATGTATAGAACTTCAACTTAGGGCTTTTCTATGGATGACCCTACCTTTGGAAAAAATGACTTTTGCCACCCACACATGTATGTCATTCTACAGAAATTCAGATTTCTTAGACCTGTGGGGGCAATCCATGAATCTGCTACACATTAAAATTAGAGAATCTCTGACTTGGAGGGGCATGTAAATTTTTTAAAAACATGTTTATATTGATTTTTTTAGAGACAGAGAAAGGGAGAGAGATAGAGAGATAGAAATATTAATGAGAGAGGATCATCGATCAGCTGACTCCTACATACCCTTTACTGGAGATCGAGCCCACAACCCAGGCATGTGCCCTTACTGGGAATCAACTCTTGGTTCATGGGTTGACGCTCAACCACTGAGCAACATTGGCCAGGCAATTTTTAAATATTTTTACTATTATTTTTTTGTCTCACTGCATTCAACTTTTTATTTATTTTAATAATCATAAACTACGATCTTGTTATATTAAGACTAGAGGAGCAGTGCACGAAAATTTGTGCACTTGGGCAGGGAGGGGCGTCCCTCAGCTCGGCCTGCGCCCTCTCGCAGTCTGGGAGCCCTCGGGGGATGTCCGACTGTGGCTTAGGCCCTCTCCCTCTAGGGAGCGGGCCTAAGCCACAGTCGGACATCCTTAGGGCTGCTGTGGAGGCAGGATAGGCTCCCACCACCGCCACTGTGCACCAGCCTTAAGCTTGGCTTGTGGCTGAACAGTGCTCCCCCTATGGGAGCACACTGACCACCAGAGGGCAGCTCCGGCACCGCCTGTCACTGTCCCCTCCCTCTGCCCACTGGCACCTGCCTTGGCTGGCCTGGCACCGCCTGCTCGCCATCCCACACCCCCGTTGTTCCCCTGTTCGGGCGATTTGCATATTAGGCTTTTATTATATAAGATTATTTTCCTAGCCCACCCTAACATAATAGATTTTACAAAAGTTTTGATACGTGGTAATGTGGATGTTGTAGGATATAAAGAAAGCTTATAAGATGGTGGGAAGCTTTGCTGCCAAATGAGGCAAAAGGAATAATTAATAAGAAATCAGGTAAAATAGAGTAGGAAAAAGTGTTAAGGGAATGTTTCATCTAGTTTTAAAGATCCAATGAGGTATTGCCCAGTTTCTTCCTCAAGTTTTTTTTTAAGTACGTTTTTATTAATTTTTAGAGAGAGAGAGAAAAACATCAATCATCTGCCTCCTGCATGCCCCCTACTGGGGATCAAGCCTGTAACCCAGGCATGTGCCTTGACCGGGAATCAAGCCAGGGATCTCTTCGTTCATGGGTCCGATGCTCAACCATTAAGCCACACTAGCCAGGCTTTTCCTCAAGTTTTATATGGTAGTCTTTGAGCCATAAATTTGAAACCATCACTTCTTGAAAAAATAGATTTATCCAGTGAAATATTTGAAATTCAGATTATTATATGTATATTTAACATGGAGCAATGTTCCTTTTAAATTTTTTTTAGTTGCAAGCAGATGAACATGCTATATAAGCAACAAACTACAAAGACTGATCTTATATGGATGTTTTAATGCTGTAACCAAATAAAGCTTTCAGCAGTTATTTGACACATATTTAATGATATGCATAAGTATTACTGTGTTACATGGTCATTAAGATTAAATATAAATGGCTGTTTAATATCAGTTTCCTATAGCCAGACTTCACATTTCTGGGCCCAGCTTGAAGGAGGAAAAAAAATATGTCAGGCCAAGAGGCTTTTACAAAGATTTCTGATTTAGAGATTTTGATATAGAGAGATTAGGCGTTTGGGGCAGGGAGTGCTCATAACTTTGGTGCTACTAACTCTAAAGAGGCCACACACTTTCCCTTTTTCTTCCACTACTCATGATCTTATACTAGAGGGAGAAAGTGCAAAGATTCAGCCATTCCTTTACTTTTTCCAAATACAGGTAGTTTTTTCTGCCTAGTAACTAAAGGTTGGGATGCAGAGGAGCCAAGAACTGATAGTGCACAAAGGACAGTTTCGTGCCCTGCTTAAACCAAACCAGTTCTAGGTCTCAAGCTGTCATGAGCCCTAGTATTTAAGTTGTTTAATTAACTTTGGTCTCTGAGAATTTCTGAACCTGATCTTTTCATGTTTTCCCAAACTAGGCTTTCTATAACAAACACAGAAATGTCCCATGCATATGAAACAAAATGCAATGAAAGCAAATTTAAAATCGTCACTAAACCAAATGAAAGTATTATAACTTAGAATATGCTTTTTTCCTACCAAACCTGCCTTCCAATCCACCTACACCTTCTCCTCCCCAAATGAAATAAGTATTTTTGCCAATAAAAAAGTAGAGGCAAGTCAAAGATTCTAAAACTTAGTGAAAATTAACGGAATTATTCCTATTCCTGCTTTGACTTTCTAAGGATAATTTCTATTCTCTGCAGCTTGGCTATGTGATAAAAGATTTCGTGATCAAATATTTCTGCATCTGTGTGTGGCACTAAATTTTTGTGCTATCTGAAAAGATATGCAATGTTGGGAAAATTTCCTGATACTACTTTTAGAGCCTTCTATTTGCCAATTCAATATTGGTTGAAAAGGTAGCCTATACTGTAATTCAGTTAACTGCCACATGTCCAAAACGGAAACCATCCCCACACGCCACAATATTTTGAATTTAATTTAAAAAATCAATTTGCAATGAATATTATAAAAATAAATATATTATAATTTGGGTGTTCTTGAATATTTTCAGCTGAAAATTTTCACGAGAAATGATTTTAAAGTTGGTCAGGGCTGCCACTTAGGGAAAACATTTTTTTTATAGACGCGAGTGGAGTGTGGGGAAGGTCCACCTCTTGCATCTGTAGACGCTTATGGTGTACAATGGGTTAAAAAAAAAACTAATCTTTGATGCTTCTTTATCATTTATAGAATACTTTTACATACCTTATCTCTTTTTTAAAAAATCTTTATTGTTGAAAGTGTATCCTCCCCCCCCCCCCCCCCCCCCCCCCCCCGCATTGGCCTCTTCTAACCCTCCTCCCCTTGGCCTCCTCCCCACCACCCCCCCCCCCCCCAAGGCCGTCACCACCCTATTGTCTGTGTCCATGGGTTATCTATATAATCTTTATTAGAGAGGTGGTATTTTCAGGAAAAAAAATTCTGAGTTACAGAGAAGTTGTGCTATGTTTCCCATTCACACAACTACTAAGAAGCTTGAATCCATTATCTTTTCTTTTAGTCCTAACCCAAAGATTTTTTTTTATTGATTCTTAGGGAGGAAGGGAGAGAGAAACATCGATGTGAGAGAGAAACATAGATTGGTTGCCTCCCATACACACCCCGACTTGGAATTGAACCCGAAACCTAGGTATGTGAGAATCAAACCTGCAGCCTTTTGGTGTACAGGAGGATGCTTCTACTAACTGAGCCACCTGGCCAGGGCTGAATCCATATATTTTTGTTTTATTTATATTTCATCTCTTTGTTTTTTTTGTTTGTGTTTTTTTTTTTATTGTTGTTGTTAATCCTCACCCATTTTTCCATTGATATTTTTCCATTGATATTTTTCCATTGATCTTTCAGAGAGAGGGAAAGACAGAGACAAACGTCAATGTGAGAGAAACACATCGATTGGTTGGCTCCTACGCATACCCTGATCAAGGCCCGGGGCCAAGGAGGAGCCTGCAACCAAAAGGTACGTGCCTTTGATAAGAAATGGAACCCGGGATCCTTTGGTCCGCAGGCTGACAGTCTATCCACTGAGCCAAATCGGCTAGGACTATATTTCATCTCTTTGGATACCTTCTGCCAAATCAGTTAATGTAAAAATACACTATTAATGATTAAAACACATACAATAAATTTTAAATTCAGTAGCTCAGATTATAAGTATGACAGCTATTTAAATAAAATTTAGGACAATAGCATGAAATTTGTTCAAAATGAGTCAGTTACAGCTTGTGGTAAATGAAAATTGCTATCAATATAAACAAATTAGACCATATGTTATATAAACAATTAAAAGGGAAGAAATTTTACCTTTAAATACTTTTTTCCAATTACAGTTGACATTTAATATTTTATATTTTAAGTATTGTTTAAGGATTGTTTTAGTGTATAGCGTAAATGAAAAGGTAGAAAAACTATATCTTTATGAAATACCTATGTATTTTATCTATTAGGTTAGTATGATATCTCTCATCAAATGTTGCTTACTTCTTTTTCTGATAATTTATTGTTATAGTATAAAAAATACAACTGTTTCTGTATAGTGATTTTCAATCCTACGACATTAAGCTTATCAAAGGCTTTTAGAGGAAATGACTAATTTCTCCCATTAAAAAAAAAAATACTTTTCAGGTATTTCAGTCAAAGGAAGAAATAGCTCTTCTGAGATGGAATCTGTTGTTTGGGAATGTGGTTGATCAACTTGATATGTTGGCCAAATGTGCCCTATGTAATAAAATGAAAAGAAGAGACAAGATGACGTCATTTTCCTGTATTGTGAAACCAAAAACAAATGCCTTTTGTGAGATCAAGCTAACAAACCTCTGACAGTGCAAAGAGTATTTAACTGTTTGAAGAACTTGATAGTAAAATATAGAAGAGTACTTCTTCAAGCTGAGACCTGCAGGTGTACAGAGATCTAAAATACATATCATAGGCCTGATCGTCCAAATCTCATTCAGATCCAAGAAGGATGGCTATGAGTTGGATCGTCTTCTATCTTTGGCCCTTGACTATGTTTGTGGGGCATATAGGTGGGCACAGTTTGTTTTCTTGTGAACCTATTACCTTGAGGATGTGCCAAGATTTGCCTTACAATACTACCTTCATGCCTAATCTTCTGAATCATTATGACCAACAGACAGCAGCTTTAGCAATGGAGGTAAGACTTAATCTATTCTTTGACATATCTACCACTGAGCCAAACCGGCTAGGGCGACATATCTTAGAAAATGATTCTTATTTTGCCCTGTTAACTTATCTAATGAATGTGTCTGATAAACAAAAGGGAAAGAATATGTTATTTTAAACTACATCTTGTACATTAAAAAGTTCTAGATTTAGGTTCTTCAAACTCTAATATTTGAAGAATTGATTTTTGAGGAATGTTACTTATTTTTTAGACATACTTTATAAAGAAATTTGAAACACTGAAACATGGAAGATGATAGCCATTTAGGAGTTTAAAATTGCCCAAGTTATGATTATATTTTTTCTGTTGTTTGACTGATAATAAAACTTTAGATAAAGACAGAATATAATAATATCCATAATTCATTCACTAAGTATTGATGGTAATGTGATTTTGCAAAAAGAGTTCTTTTGTTCAGTCTTTAGGCTAGTGGTTTACAGTATTTCAATTTTTTTTAAATGCTTAAAATGATTTTTTGGCTTACCATGTTTACATCAGTTTTGTGTATTTTTTAATAACAATAACTCGGAAGCAACAAAAATTTTTTGCTACCTGAATTATCTGTTCTTGACCGCTCAAGATTTTATGAAAATTTACTCAAATTTTTCTAATGGTAATTTTTTAGGCACTTTTAATGATTTTACTTTATTAATTTATTTTAATATTTTTTAAATTGATTTCAGAGAGGAAGGGAGAGGGGGAGAGAGAGAGAGAGAAACATCAATGATGAGAGAAAATCATTGATTGGCTGTCTCCTGCAAGCCCCCTACTGGGGATTAAGCTCACAACCAGGGCATGTGCCCTTGACTGGAATCGAACTGGGACCCTTCAGTCCACAGGCTGACACTCTATCCACTGAGCCAAACCAGCTAAGGCTGATTTTAGGGTGACAGGCAACAAAGAAACTATGACAAATTAATGGATGTAATTAATAATAGGTTTAAATAAGCATGTGTTTCTATACTGGTTTTAGAGTTGTGGACAAGGATATGTTTACCAGATAAGAACAAGGAGGCAGTAAATGGTGGCAATAAGGAGCATATGTTTTGGATTTGGACAGACCTGGCTTTGAATTCTAGCTCTATCACTTTCTAGCTATATTACTTTGAGCAGGTTATGTGAACTTTTCCTATCATAGATTCTTTGCTTGTAAAATGGAGTTAATAATCATGCAAGCTTTTGTAAAGTACAAAATGAAACCACATGTACTATAAAGTAGTTGGCACATAGTAAGTACTCTAAAAGTGATAGCTTTTACCATTTACTCATTTCCTCATATTAATGTGGCTATATAATACATATAATTTACAAAGAATGTTTTCTTCTTTAGTCTTTAATCCATTGTTACAGTGCTGTCAGTAAATTGAAGCCTACATGTTTTGGAATTCTTCGTTTTATAATAAAATTCAAAGGTTCATTACTTCCAAATAGACTAACATGAATCTATCTAGGAAAATTTGTGGAAAGATCACTATTCATAGATTTTAAAATGTGGAGAGCATCTTATATATTCCAAATATATGAAGATGTTATAGAGGTTGAACAAAACATTTTCTGCTCTTCCTCTGATTACATAAGGTCTAACTAGTAGTAAAGAGAGATTTGATATTGATTGAGAGATTAGGATATATGAAAATGGACATTGGTTTTAATACAGTAATTTGTTTCCAGGCATGGTAATCACTGCTGTGCATTAAAGCCATCAGTTTTCTCACAAAAATAAGTTGAAGTAGAAGTACCCTTGTTTCTAGTATCATTACAGGTTAGTACAACTCCTTTGGAAAGCAAATAGAGTGGTAAGAAGCTGGTCATAAAGATTTTTGTACTGATTTGGGTTCACTTTTTGGCTGTACCATGTAACTTTAAGACTTTGGAGTTAAATCACTTACCATCCCTGAGTCTTGGTTTCTTCATTTGTGAAAAGACATTAATAATTAAAATATCTCGAAGGGCTGTTAGGCTTAAATGAAAGATTTATAAAGTAGATAGCATAATTCATGGCACACAATAGGTGATCCGGAAATGTTGATGTTATTCCAAATTCCATTTCTAAATAATCCTACAGAGAAAGTACTAGAAAGATGATGTATGTGTTCCAAGTGAACTTGTAGGCTCATGGAGCATTCATAATGATGGCATGTTAAGCTGTTTCTACCTTCTTCACAAATAAGGCCATGTGGTCTAGATATTTTATTGGCAATGAAGTTGCCTTGGTTTGAGTTTCACGTATTCTAGGGAAAGCACCAAAGTGGGTAATACTTTCTAAGAGAAGGCTGATTTGAAGTAATTAATATTGGAGATAGTTGCCTGTAGTATGGTTGTCATATCAGGACAGTGCTACTATACTCAAAGTCATCTGACGGTTTAAGAGGGTGAAGTTTCAGCAATAGTAAAAGGTACTCGGCAGTCAACACAACATACTTCCAGAAGGAAATAAGGATTCTTGGGTCCTTACAAGGCTGATGACACCCTTCATCCAGGAACTTTGGATATATGTCTGCCAGCTTTTACCAGGAGCAAGTAATGGGAGCAGGTAATCCCAGCACATTCTTGAGTGTTCACTGTGAGATTTGTATTCAAAGATGGATTCCTAGGTGTCGCATCTTTCAGCAGGCCCAGCCATCACACCTGCCTGGCTTATTTCTGTTCTGATGTTTGGTGAGTCAAAATAATTGCTTGCAATAGGATAGTAAATAACAGTGAGCTAGGGATACACAGATGAGAGCAAGTACAGGATATGGGTTATCTCGAACTTGATTATTTACAATCAACAAGTTGGATATACTTTCATAGTACATAGAGGATTTCAAGTCTATGCTTTCATTGAAATTGGGAAATGTTTAAATAATTGGATAATTATCACTTTATTAAGTTGGAAAAGAAGATCCTTTGCTGGTATGTTTATTTCTCTACCCTACTTTCCAAACCATGCACATGAGTACACAAACACACTAAATATTTACAACTTTTTAACGTGGTGTCTTTCTTTTTCCCTTGAGTATCAGTGGCTTTTGATAGAAAAGAGTTTCTCAAACCATTTTGAGCTGTCCAAATTGCTAAGTAAATTTTTGGAAGCTGTACAGCATGGATAACAAATTGTCAGTAACTATATATACCAACCCACACATTACCAGGTATTTGTGTATTTGTGACTTTAATGATAATAAAAGAGATCTGAGCAGCCTTTTCTCGATTTTGAATAATTAAATTGAATAGGAAGGTCACTGTTCAGTGGAAAAAGCACTAGAATGGGGTGAGAAGACTTGTTTTTTGCTACTAATTAGTTTTGTGACTTCTTTGTGTTGTTTTCCTCTTGGAAATGAAGTTATCCCTGTCCATTTGACAAGGTTATTGTTAAGACCAAATGATATAGTGATATATTCTGTATATTAAAGATCTTTAAAAAGTTAAAGTGCAGAGCATTATTCTTTGTTGCCTGTCACCCTAATTTCTTTGGGAGGTTGATTGCATGTCTGTTCTTTTTTTCTTATTTTGAAATTAAACCTCTGTAGGAAAATCAGAGGAAAAACTCCTGGGATGGTTTGTGTTTGCTTCCATTTCTTGTTTTCTTTTGTCATTCTCATTAAGATTTTCTATAGCATAGGAAGTTGACAGAAGTATAGATCTAGTGAGAACATAGAGCAAGGGTGGGCAACCTTTTTGTGAGTGTGTGCCAAAACCAGCAAAATCTCTGACTCAGAATTCTTCTGCATGCCAACCCTAATTTTTTGAGAACATGTTACTCCTACTTGATATCTCTTAAGGTGTACATATGTGAAGAACCTTGAAGAAATAATAAAATTCATTTGAGTGACAAAAACACAGTGTATGATGATAAAAAATACATTTATTTTTTAATGTATACATGTACACTATTAGTCTGACAGAAAACTTTATGACTCCGTTTGATATCATCAGTGGGACTTTTGCTGCTGCATCACTGATGACAGAGATTTTTACATCAGATTTATATTTTGTGACCTTCAGAGATATACACGAGCTACTACTTTCATCCGTCAGGCTGCTCCTATTACGAGACTTAACAAAATTCATCACTGAGAATAAAGATTCACAAGCGTATGTGGATGAAACCAAAACACTGGTCGGATCGAGGAAGGCAGGGAGAGTTAAGGCAGAGGCATAGAAATTGCTCTTCCCCTCTCTCGTCAATCCATGTCTATGGTCTTTAAGATAACTTGTTATGTAAAATTATTTATTTATCTAAGATACACCTACACTGAATTTATCTGAAAAGTAAAAAAGTCGATATTAAGAAAAAAATTGTAAATGGAAGATTATAAGAGACGGTTTCGCATGCCAGCAAAAGTTACTGGCGTGCCAGGGGTTGCCCACCCCTGACATAGAGCCTAAAAGCCTGCCTAAACATCCTTGGTATCCTTTATGGTTCAGTAAGAATAAAGCATGTTTGAACCAGTCTCCCAGTTATCCAAACTCAAATTTTAGCTTTATTTCCTATATTTTTTATTATGGAAAATTATATAGAAATATAGATAGAATAGTATAATGAATGCCATATACCCATCATCCAATTTTAAAAATTATTAACTTGTAGCTAGTCTTGTTTCATTCATGACCTCACACCCAACTGATTTACTTAGAAGAAAGTCACAAGCACCATAATTTCATCCATAAATATTCCATTTATATCTATAGTAATAATAGAGGAATATGCAAATTGTCCAGAATGCCGTCACAGTAATAGTAACTACCAGTAGGCTGCATGGGGCGACCAAAAGACTGAACAGTAGGCTGCGTGGGGCTATCAGGCCAGCAGGGGGGCAGTTGGGGGTGACCAGGCTGGCAGGGGGGGCAGTTAGGGGCAATCAGGCCAGCAGGCAGAGGCGGTTAGGGGTGATCAGGCTGGCGATGGCGGGAGGGGGGGCGAGCAGTTAGGGACGATCAGGCAGGCAGACAGGTGAGCAGTTAGGAGCCAGCAGTCCCAGATTGTG